ACAAAAATCATGCAGAAATGATATGTCATTTTATAAATTGGAATGAAAATTTGATTCCACAGCTATTCAAAATAAATGATCCACACATTTCAAATACATTCTCTATCAGTCATGTCATCGTTAGGGGCATTTCACAGCGCTACGACTAGTAAATGAAACATTCATTTAACATTCATGAAGCTTGCCATGCTTCTCTATCAGGGTTTTATTTCTATACTCTACCTCTCATCCTCGGTCAAAATGGTATTGTTTTCCATTGTTTTATTTAGGCAGATTATATAAAATTCAAACATCTATAATGTCTAGGGATGCAGAAAATGGTTTTAAAAACCTTGGTTTGCATCCCAGATATTTAAACAAAAGTTGATAAAACGCTATTTACAGGCAATTTCAAACTACAGTGTATATGGTCTTTCTGTGTCCCATACTTCCCCCAAATCATAGAATGAATAACAAATGAACATTGAAACTGATATTTTTCCATGATAATTTTGTCTGAACCCAGCTGTAGTAAAGCTAGCAATTTGATGCTACTATAGGGTGTACTACAATCTTTGATGTGGTCAATAATGTATGGGACAAAATATGTTGGACTTGCTCATACAGTAATTACAATATATATTTTAAAAACAAGTTTAAAATGGCAAGTATAGTTTGAGCTTTTTAAAATATTTTGTTTTATGTGCAAGATTTTAGTAATGATACAAATTTGCCTTTTATAAAATAATCATGCAGAATTGATATACTTGATAGATCATATATCCAAATTTCTCTTGAATTCATTCCAATAGATTTAAATATTTACAAGTAAATTATTGAAATTGTTGTATTTAAACACTGTGAAATCAAATGGAGACATAATTAGGAAGACTAGATCATGATTACCGATATCGTTTCTGTGGATAATGTATTCAAGTCAGCATTTGCTCAAATATTTTAATGATGTTTTTAAATCTGTATGTCATTTAAAGGAGGACCATAATGCTCAGTGTATCAAATGTCTTAACTGAACAATTTGATATATTTTGTGGATATTTATGCACAAATGATGAAGTTATGTATGAATTCATGATATGTGTTTACTTGTATTTTTGTGTTCTTTCAAACAAAAAAGTTTAACAAAGTTAATATTGTGCTGAATATTATGTGAGGCTGTTTCACAAGTTATTCTATGTTCGTGTATATATGAAGCTACTAGTGTAATAGCATATCTACCTCATTTAGTGATACAGGTTTTGTACTTCTACGAATGTGTGTGGAGAACTATGTACATTATTCATGGCGATTGTGAACAATATGAATGTATAATATTGCACAAAACACTTGCCAAGGTTAAATATGCAGTTCATTTTTTGTTTGCATCTCTAGCTAGTCAATGTATTCATGACACCGTATGACTCACTGTAAAGTCAACAAAAGTTCAGGTGTAGTGATAGTCTTCATTTACAGACTCTGAACTTTTATCAGAAATAGACCAGTTTACTAACATATTCCAATTCATGGATGTATCTTTCCTGGGGACCTACTGATGAGTTATTCCATTAACCCGTTATTAATGAATGAACTACGATACTCAGATTCCAGTCTGCAGCGTACATTACTTATTGGTATGTCGGGCAAGCCTCAGGTGAGCTTTCAGATTGACATTGTCAAGAACAACTATTTTTAAAAGTATGCATAAAATTTGAATATGTTTGTAAACCGGTCTATTGATAGAAGTTGAATTCTTGTCAAATAACTAATACTGTTACTATATAAAGGCCTTACTAGTTCCAAATGTCAATATACTGGAAATAAATTAATCTAAATGATTTAGAGATAATATTTGTGTATGTACCACTGAAGCGTGAAGAATTCCTTCTATGGTTATTCCAATTTCTCTGGCTTCTTGAATAGTTCTGATACTGTCTTGTCATGAGAGTATATTTAATGCCCTTCTTACATTTTGTTGTGGATGTTTTTATTAATAAACTAGACTACAATAGTGCACTGTTGTCAGGTATATAATGTCAATGGGAGATTTTTTAGCAACTTTTCTGTTAATGAATATAGCCTTTCTTAAAGTCTGTGTGAAGTGTAAAGGGTTTATATAATCAATTTGCCATAATTAGGAATGGTCAGATAAAACAAAAAATGATGACACCAGTAATATTGTACCGTAGTTGATATCATAATTTGCACAATTGTACAGTGTATGGATGCACACATTTTATATATTTTTTCCAATATTGACAAATGTAACAGGGTAAATGTGTATCTTCCAAGTATTTTTAAAGTATTCTTGATTTTTATAGCACATGTAATTTTTTAGTGTAAATGTACACAAGTGATTTGCTGAATTTTCATTCTACTGTGAATAAGCTGAATTGAACTGATTTAACTGTAAAATAGCAATATGAAGTATATTAAACATGAATATGAACTATTAAATATATAAAGGATGTATGTATTTATTTGTTATTGATGTGACGAAAAAATAACATCATGCTTCAATCAAAGAGAGTTGTACCTCAGTCACATACCAAACCAACTCTGAACTTTCTTTGTAAGTATTGTTCAAGGGTAACCTTTGTAATATGTTCATTTGTATGAAATCAGAAAAATAAGACAACAGAATGGCAGAGGTTTGAAATAAATTGGACAAATAAGAAGAGTTTGGAATGATTGAAAAATTAAAATCACTAAATCTATACGAATATCAAATTGGCAATTCGGTCAGTGGATTGTAACATAGTCACAGACTACTCTTTTGTTTGTTGTATACCTAAATATCATTAATTTCTGTTTGTCTCCTTAGTGCCTTCTTCCTTTAGGGACATCTCGAAATATATTAGGTAGCATATAGTTGTAGGTCCTCTTAAAAGGAAAATCCCTTCAGAGTCATACATCTTGCAAAAATGACATTTTAGACATTTTGTGTGATGAAACAAATTGGAAAGTTGTTGAATACTACGTCACAGTGACAGTACGATGCAGCCAATTTGAAATACCCATACATATAGTGATTCCAGCTTCCAAAATTCTTATTTTTTGTCTGATTTCTTTCATACTTTTACCATTCTGCTTTATTTTAGGGTAGTTGTTTATTAAGGTTGGATTTACCTCGCATCATTTTCATTGGTGTGACAGTCACTGTGACTGGGGTAGGAGATGGCTGTGAAGAGGAATGTATTACATGGAAGAGTAGGGTAAACGATAAAGGAATGAATCAGGAAAAACATGGAGAGGAAAAGTAGAAGGAAAACATGAAGAGGAAATGATGAGAGAATGATGATAATAATATGAGATTTGTAAGGCAACAAATCCTCTTGAAAGCAAATGCTCAAGGCCCAATTGTGAAACAAACAAAAAACAAACAAAAACATGGATCACATGAAAGCAGCTGCATTGTAAACAAAGGAACAGGAGTAAGATAGAACATAAGAAAACAAAGAACAATTAATTATTTATATGCCAAATTTAGACAGATACTTTTTCATAGTTCTGACAGTTTCCTTTAATCTATATTTATTCCATCAGAACTCACAAATCCATAATTATAAAATACGTCAAAGGGGTCTTATTCATCAGCCTTTTGCAAGAACAAATATCACTCTGACCTCTTTCCATATCTCTTGCATCAAAGAATGGAACAGTTTGCCTGATGATATAAAAAATAGTACAACTCTTTCTAGGTTTAAAATGTTATCTAAAACGTATCTACTAGAAAGACTGACATAATTTTTCTTTGTATCTTAATAATTTATCATTCTGAAAAAATGCTTTTGACCACCAAGGACCTACTCATACGAGTGTGTGTGTGTGTGCTCTTGTAATGGGTGTAATTTATGAGGCTTATTCTTTCATTTAATTTTTTCCAACAAATTTTGGTCAACAGCCGGACACCAAGGTTATGTACGATTCATTAATGTTCAAACGGCAATTAAAAACATTCAACACCCAGGATCAGTGAATGAAACACACTGAAAAATCAATTAGAGATATCATTCTCTCATTTTATTAAAAAAACATGGCAAAAATATGATAAATTGATATTTAAAAATACATGCGCTTCCCGTGTAACGTTTTAATGTCCATATATGGGCATTTTTCATGGCATTATGCGTGCTAGTGCAAAACAAAACCATGACGAGCCATAATGGATGGTTTGGTAAGATTCCTCACATTATTAGCATCACATTAATAATAATTGTAAACATTGTAGGGAAACCGATTTCATATTATCTCCAAATGAAGTTGAAGTCAGTAAAGGGTACCCTTGATCTCAGCCATGCACATATGTTATAGGTCAAAATGTGAAAGATCACAGGGTCATGGAAAGTGTAAAAGATCCCATATTATTATCTATATAAGGCTTCCAAGTGGTACAATACATCAGTGTATTTAATATCTTTAGCCCAGTACCCAGATGACGGATCAATATGGTTTTCGTCATCCGGGAACTTCAACTATCGAAATCGATCACACAAAAACAAAGCCATATTTACACAGGTAAGTCAAATATTCACTAGTCAACCTGATATAGATAACAATAATAATATTGTATGGCTTTGTTTTTGTGTGATACAAGAATATATTGCTCTTGCTATGACAATATATTCTTGTATCACACTCAAAGCCATATATAAATATCTCATTACTGTGATAACTTCACAAAAGTTGAACCATTGTTGACCAAACTGGGCTTGGGTATATGTATGTCTGTACGAGCATGAAAAGATGACATAGAATGTTTGGGTTTGTGAGGTCAGACCCTACAGGTCACATCATCACTGATGAACATACATATAGGAGGAGGCATATTAGAGACGCAGTCCCATTTATCTAGTTTAATTATAATATTGGATATTTATATAATGATAAATAAATAATAATAAAAATGTTACTTATAAAGCGCTTACCACCAAAGTCTCTTAAAGTGCTTTAACAAACAAAATAGACTGATAAACAATTACATATTAAACAAAACAAAAAAGTGCAAATAATATAGCATGAATATCCACCATGCATGGTGCTCAAGGCGCTCCAACTATTAGCCCGGCTCTGCTAGGCAGCCGATTTCAGCGCTCACAGCATTCAAGGAATTCCTTCCTTCCGGTACCCATTTAGTATTTAACACCTTTTGCACACAACAAATGGAGTAATTGCAATATACATGTACGATATGAAACATGAAGTCTTAAATGCCAATGTGAGGATATATATCATTAGTGATCTCAACATTTAAAGGTTCATGACTTTCTACTCTTTATCTAAAATTCTACCTCAAATTCATAACAAAAGTCAGTTCAATCATCAATAATGGTAGAGTACATGTACCTCTACTGGTAGGGTATTTGTGGACATCCTTGATGGCATACCACAGGACCTACATCTTGGGACTTTGTGACGGAAGCGCTCTTCATTATTGGATCACCTTCTTATCGAGTTCCTCAGCTTCACAAAGAACAGTGCTTGAGCAAAGTTTAACTGGAAAGAGTAGCACTGTCAGAGATGGTCGTTTAGGTTCGGTTTCGTTTGTTTGCTTGTTTTATCTCACTGCTAAGAAGGCATGTATGTGCTTGTACTTACAAGCAACCAAGAGACTAATAAGTCCTCTCCGAGGGACTTGGTAATGAGGACTATGCCTTACCCAAGGGCACTAGCATCAACTTGATTTCAAACCTGGGACCACTGAGCCATCATGCCTCCATTGAGAGACACAAGAAGAGAATGAAAGACAGAAATAAATTGATAATAGATTTTGTGATATAAGTGCAGATTGGGCTTGGCTAAGGTTAGAATCAGATCTTCTTCGAACATGCTCCAACGATGTAGTAAAAACATCCTTCCAATGTCTCCATTAACAAGTGGCAACATTACAGAAGCAACTTTCCAGACCTGCAACTTGGTCATGATGGCATCCTCCTCAAGCAAGCATTTAGTATTTGGATGACCAGATGTCTCCATCAGCACTATATAGGCTGTGGCCTCCTTAACTGTTCATTACTGCAACAAGCTGCTTTCTTCATGAGCATCTGAGGTCCTTTCACATGAGATCAAAATCATCCCTCTGCAATAGAAAATAAAGGCATTATAGAGCCTGAGAAGTTTTGGGTGGGGAAGGTTTGAATAGCTTATCTTGGGTAAAATATTGTGCTGATTCATATGGAACCTTCTCACAACGTTTGTGTTATTTTGGTCACTTTTTCCCCCAAAATTACCATTAAGGTCACTTTTGTTCTTGGGTATATTTTCCAATTGTTTAAAGTGACTCTGTAACATCGTTAAAAGTTGATGAAAAAATTGCATAATTTTTGTATGAAATGTTACTTATTATATTCCTTCTACTGTACTAGCCCTCTAACATGCGAAAAATCTTGAAAATATTCTCGAACCACAAAGATATCTATGGTTTTCTTTGAAGGTGTCACTGTGCAACACCCTCTAACAGTGATTAACAGTAAATTCTTCCAACCGTTTTTTAATTTTCCAAATCAATTATCCTATGGATTGAAACAAGGTTCTGTGCAAGCCTACCAATATATGATACATTGGATTATTTTGAACAATGGAGCACAGAAACAAGAGGCATATAACTGTTAAAAGAATTTTAGACCGAAGAAGCACATCCGTATGGCCTAACCCACATTCGTTCCAACAGCCCAAACTTGGTACAATGCAATTGTGACAATACTTTTAAAGACCCTGGGACTCAGGCACACTTAGAAGAAATATCATGAATGGGGTACCATTGGACAGAAAACAAATTACTCTTAAAATTTCATCATGAAATAGATTTCAAATTCATATTGGTTACAACTTTTTAATTAGGAATTAGCTACCAATAGACAGATTTGAGAATAATTTGAATTAATACAAAGTATATTGAGAGCCAAAAGGGCATTGATTCTGTGTAAATCATCATGGAAAAAAATAGTTTAAAATTTCGGGGGGTACTTTTCACGTTTGCTTGCATGAAAAGAACACTCTTTATATTGTGTTGCATTGAACTCTGTGCAATTTTGGGGGGCTCTTTTATGACTTTCGGGGGCTTCTTTTGGCATTTCGGGGGCTAATTCACCCCGAGCCCCCATGAATTTCCCCTTGTAAATCATATAAGTTAATGCCCTTCTGGCACTCAACAGATAGTATCATGTTTAAAACAGTACCTCCTCATTGTATTCAACAATGTGTTTCTTGATCTTTGATGTATCTGTCCACGTTACAAAATCTTCCATCGATCTAATTAAACACAAACAAGAAACAACAAGAAGAAAAAGGTTTTTGAATATTATAAATTTCTCTACATTTGGTAATTGATGACAGAAATTTTTTCCACTTCTCTAGCTCAAATCTCTATATGGGATTTTATGTGTGATAAAGATTATATAAAATATATTTATTTTTCTCATAATATACCTAGGACATCAGACTTCTCCCCTTTATGTATGATTTGAAAGAATGAAGAGAATTGAAGTGCATGAGGTTATCATAGAGATGAGTTTCAGATTTATCATGGTCATAATAGTATTCAAGTAGAGCTGATAAATGAGGTCAGTGGGCTAAGCTATTTTTTGAGGACCACTTTTTTCTTTTTGAGGGGGGGGGGGGGGGGTGGTTTTTTTTTTTGTTTTTTTGTTTTTTTTGTTAGTTAGGGGGACAGGAGGGTGTGAAAAGATTCCTGCATTTGTCCCTTCAACGGTTTGGTCCACATACCTCATATACCATGAATAAGCCTGCACTAGAGTTTTCTTCATAAGCAAAGATTTTTCTAAAATATGCTTTTTGTCCATAAAACAAAACGTGACCAGTGATTGTACAAAAAACAAAGAAATGAAGGCTTCGCCATTGATTCCAGATTTGATTATTCGAATAGGCCCATATAACAGCACAAATCGTCTATTGCATTGTTTAACATAGTCAATGAAATGATTAATTGAATAAACCCAAATAAAGAATGATTTACAAAATTAAAGCATTTAACTTCTACCTTGTTTGTACAATTATTATTGTGACTCCAATCACGGATTTGAAATGAATTCCATCACAACACTCCCATCATCAAACACAACATCATCATCACACCATACACAATATTTAGGCAAAAACCATGTATGGTGTGAACCCGATTTTTGTTTTTGGTCGCCTAGCCTGTCTAATTGTCATGTTGTTTTGTCGTATTTGGTGCGCAGAGTTCTTCATAATAATAATAATAATAATAGTTCGTTCTTTTATCGCGCATTACGAGTGATTCTTCATTTTAACAAGACCCATGATATCAGTAGTACATTCATCTTGGGATTGTTGGCAGAGCTGTGAAAACTGTTTTCTTTTCTAACCATTTTAAATCGCCTTTATTATCCTGTTTCCCCCTAAAAAGACAAGATTACCTAATATGTAATTTAAATGTCAATTGCATTTTCTGTTAAATATGCATAATTTGAAATTTAAATTCAAAGAAATCTACACAGAATGCTACAGGGGATGTACATCCCTACTTCTTATTTGGTTGAAATTGATCTTTGAACCTGTGTTGCACTGTAAATATCATTTTAAAACTAATAAATTCTGTACAAGTCCGGGCCACCCCCCCCCCCTCCCTTTGGTTCCGCCACTGACAGAAACAATAAAGAGGGTGTTAAACACCCCCTCCCCCCTCTGCGTACGTTTAAAAAGAATTGTACCTGGTAACAAGGAAGGCTGGGTCTAAAACTAATTCTGGTCCAACCCTAATATCTGAAGAAAGTTAGTCAAGGAAATGGACTGACATAAAATAGACACACAGATTTCCAGTCATCCTCATATCTAAGATGTGAATCAGAATGAAGCCCCCATGAAAATAAAACAAGAAAAAATGGGATGGAAACACATCACAATGAAGAAAAAAAAAGCCTATAATCAAATATCAATCGAGAACTATGATCTTGACATACTAGCCTCAAACTGTAGCTGTATCATCTTTCTATAGTAATACCGTAACCTGATTTAGATATTGTGATAGCAAGGCTAAAACCTTTTCATTTCAGAAATGGACCTCTGTGACCTTTGACCTATTTCCTTTAAGTTTAATGAGACTTTCTTTCTATCCTGATATAAACTATCAAGTTTGAGGTTGATACCTCTAAGGCGTTAAATAAAAAGATGTTGTATAGCCCTTTGCTACCGACCCAAAAATCTTAAAATCTATGGTCGGCTTTTTGAGACCATTTTTTTTAAAACCATTTTTTAGAAAAACAAACATTTAATGAATAACAAAATATGTATTTTGTTTGTTTAACAAGATATAAATGCATAAAAGAATCAAATTATTCCCAAATTCTCACTCGTCTTCTGCCCTATTTTCAAAATCCTGCTAGCGTAAACAAGTAGACCCGGCCTCGTTTACGTGTATATACCATGCACCAGCTAGAAACCAGCTAGGGTACTAGTAATAATATCCAAAGCTCTATGGAAGCGCATAAGAGATGTTATTTCATAACGTATCATGCGCTATACAAGAACTGAATATTATCATTATTTGGGCAACGGTTGCTGTTTTGAAGGGGAAAAAAAAAGTTTAAAGAAATGATATCCATCCGACCGACCCAGGTTCTGGCACCTAAAGGGCAATACCACATCTTTTTGTTTAGACCTAATGGTTCTTAAGATAATGCGATAACAAGGATAAAATCTTTAATTTCAGAAATTGATCTCTATGACCTTTGACCATTGACCTTCTTATCACAATGTTTGAATCCTATATCTCTAGTTGTTCTAGAGATATCGAAATAGCAAGGCTAAAACCTGTAATTCCAGAAATTGACCTCTGTGACTTTTGCTCTATTTACCCAAAATCTGACCACATCATCTTCCTATTGTGATACATGCTATCCCCATCTCTGACCCTCATGTATCTAGTGGTTCGTGAGGTATAGCAATAACAAGGCTAATAGCTGGAATTTCTGAAGTTGATGTCAGTGACTTTTGTCCTACTAACCAAAAATCTAATCAGATCATCTTCCTATTTTGATACATATTACCAACAAGTTTGAGCCTCATATCTCTAGTGGTTCTTGAGATATTGCTATAATGAGGCCAATACCTGGAATTTAATAAGTTGACCTCTGTGATATTTGACCTACCGTAGCTACTCCAAAATCTAATGAGATTGTCTTCCTATGGTGATACATATTTTCATCAAGTTATACTTCATATCTCAAGTGGTTCTTGAAATATCACGATAACGAAAGTGGGACGGACGGATAACGTAATGCCTCCAGCACCATGCACCTTCGGTCGGCCTCCGAAAAGGAAAATAAGAAATAAAAGAAAGAATTTTTTTTGGATAGAAATGGGTAATCATTGTTTTTCATGATGACTGCAAACCTTGAATTGATCAGAGTGACCTTCCATACTGACTTATGAATCTAATCATACTAAATTTGAAAAGGATACGTCCATGCTGAACAAACTTTACTGCCGACTCCACTGTCTCTGCCATCTTTATTTTCACCATGACAACAGGAAGCCGTCTTCTACAGAATGATGATGCTGACACATTATCACAGAGGGCTAGATTCTGTTTGGTTGGTACGATACCCATGTTGTACCTACATGTTGTAGAAAAACATGTCATTCATGAGTTATAATCAGTGACTGAAAAGTGATGCTATACAGTGCGTCCCAGAAAAAAACGAAACCCAGAATTATCAATGTTTTAACATAACTTAATCACAGTTATAATTAATAAATGACACATATTTGTAAAGCTTAGATCGTCCTCTTTCATTTAATGCATTCGATGATGCATAGTTTATGCATGAGTGATTAAAAACAATTTGAAAGAAAGGGTACCAAAAAGTCATTTGGAGAACGGTATCTGAATTGCAAAGAGAAAATCACATTTCTAGACAGTTAATTTTCTGCCCTTTCATATAGCACCTCAATCAGGGAAAATGAGCCAGGCATAGCAAAGTTCTGTTTGTTTAAAGTAATGCTTGCATATTAAATAAATTAGTTTTCGAGGAAGAGGAAGAGGAAGAGAAAGAAAGAGATGAAGAAGCAAGGTTATGAATTTTCTACAGATTTTATGCGACTTACAACTTTTTTAACATCTGACTAGTGCACTGATTTCTGAAGGGATCCTTGCTGTCTAGCTGCTTAATCTTATTGGCAAGAGTTCTCACATGACGGCTTAATTTGTTATACCTGCAAGGGAACAAGAAAAGCTTTTTAAAAATTGGGATAGTCCAGTTGAAAATGAGTGGCAACACGAGTCATCAAGTGTTTCTTATTTTTGCAAGTCTGATATATGTAGACCTAGATCTAAATCCTTGGCTCAAAATCAAACAACATATACTGTTTTCACACTGGCAATATTTTGCTTAACCCCGTACTATAGGTGGGGTTAAGGGGGGGGGGGGTCTTAGCCCCACCTATAGTACGGGGTTAAGCCTATTCCACTCTCTGTTCAGACTGGTTTTTACCAAAGTGGGCTAAAGTTGGCTAACCCCACCTATAGTACGGGTTAACTAACCCTGCAAAATAGCAGGGCTAACTCCGCAATTGTGGTGCTAACTCCTGCTAACCCCGCAATTGCGGTGCTAAGCAAATGAATGAGAACAGAAACGACAAATAGTCCGGTACTACGCAATGGAGCGTATCGCAGCTGGCCAGATGCGAAGTATGTCCAATCATAACATACACGATATCCGGGGTTAACGAAATGCAGTGAGAACAGCGGGAGTTTTCTTATTCCGGAATAGGCGCTAGTACGGGACTAAAAAAAAGCGTGTGTGAAAAGCCAAAAAAATAGTCCGGGGTTAAGGATAGTACGGGGCTAAGCAAAGTACGGGGTTAAGCAAAACCAGTGTGAAAAGAGTAATAGAAGGTTTACACATAGACCAGACCCACTATCTAGTTGATTTCAGTCACTCAAAGATACCCTACAGGCCTACAATACACGAGGTCCAATCGTAAATGGTATTGATCTCAAACCCTATTAAGTGCTAAAGATTACAAAATTTTCACCCACATCAAAAAATGTGAAAAAAGAAATGTCATTGTTGAACTATAGGCCTACTACTTACTAGTACATACTTTTAAATACGAAGCTCCAAAATCATGCCCTTACAGTAAACGAGCAAAATAAATCAGTTTTGTAACTTCCTGCTGAGATAACTTCACACAGGCGCGCGCCCGGCCGCGCCCGCAACCCAGCATCAGTATGCACTTGATGTATTCTGCAGCGGTTTGCCATGACACCTGAGAAAATGTGTATACTAACATCATCGTTTTTCCGAAAAATACTCCAAAAATAACAAGAAAATTGACACGAAACAAGTAATAAACATAACAACTTTTAACTCATGATCTTTATTTGGACACTTAATGAATATTTACTTCATTTTGGGTATGTAACTAGTCTAGTAGGGTATTTCCACGCCGGAGTTACGGGTCAAATTTTGGATACGTTTCTGAACAAGCGCCGTTTTTAGTAGGGTATCTCCTCGCCGGAGTTCCTGGTCAAAGTCTGGATGGACTTCTGAGCTAGCGCCCGGTAAATAACTTCACACAGGCAAGTACTCGCCCGCAACCCACCATATAGTATGCTCTTGTAATGTGCAGCGGTTTGCCGTTAAACCTGTGAAAAAGTACGAGATCCATCACATTTTTTCTGAAAAATACCCCCCCCCAAAAAAAAAAACAAGAAAATTGACACGAAACAGGTAAGAAACATAATGACTTTTAAAGCATGATCTTTATTTGGACATTTGATGAATATTTACTTCATTTTGGTATGTTCTAGTAAGGGTATCTCGGATATCTCCACCCCGGAGTTTCGGGTCAAATAGCTGAGCTGCGCAGCTATGTGTGAATTTGCACATTACGCCTACATAGGAGTTAGTACATGGTGACGGTCTCTTGAAAAAAATCTAGTTAGTAGACTCTACGACTCAACTTACTTTGTATAATCTTCCCTCTTCTGAATATGGTATCGTCGCATAATTTTAACTTCATGTAAATTGTTGTCTACTTCCCATGATATAAAATCAACCTTCTTAAGTAATTTCTGCTCATGATACTTTAATTTTCGCATGATTCAGAATGTAATCTAGATAATCGAGAGATCTAAGAAAATGTTCTCGCACACGTGTGTATGTGGACGACTATGGAAAGCCGTTGGTGACTTTATTCACGTGCCCCAGACGTATGGAACGCGGCACACGTCTGCTAAATAACAGGCAGACGTCTGCTAATATTGACCAATCAGCTGTGACCAGGCGCGTACGCAGGGGGGTTACCCCCCCCTTTTTTTTATGTGTGTATTTTGGAGGAACCCCCCCCCCCCTTCGGCCCGATTTAAAAATGTTAACCCCCCCCCCCCTTAAAAAAATTCCTGCGTACGCTACTGGCTGTGACTATTGTCACCAAAATACTTTGCGTCACGTGATTATATCTTTCCTTTTTGTAGTAGACCAAGTATATAGTATTATAATTTATTTTATTTTTTTCGTTTTATATTTATCTATCTAGGTAATACAAAATTTTGGGAAATCTTGAAAATTTTGAAAATTGGGTGGATAGTGATTCTTTACAATTTTGATATATTTGGATGCCCCTGTAGATGTATTATAAGCACTAGAAAATTTAGCCCCAAAACTACTTCTGCTTTCGAGAAAAATTGAATATAAAAATTTACCGGTGCTCCCGGTAATTTAAATAGCGCATACGGCCATAGAATGGTAGCTGCGACCATGAAAATCTCAGAATCTGTAGTTGTGATATATAATTTCCAAACGGGAACAACTAATCGGTAAATTTTAGTCAAGAAACATTGTTTTATAGCTTAATTTATATCTTAACCTTGAGAGGGAGCTATACATAAAGAGTTTATTATTTACAATTTCATAACTTTAAACTCGATTTCAACCGCGACAACGATCACTGAATATTGTAAGACCGCATATGCGTCCAATATGTTCATTTGAACCAAATTCATGACCCCATACAAAAACTTTGTATTACCTTTGATAATATCTAACAAATAATCAATCTCAAATTTGACAATAACTGCCTGAATAAGACAAAAGGAAATCAAAACAAGCCTCTATATTCAATAATCTATACGCAAACTACCATGCGGGCTTGTCCAAAATTAAGGATTTTGTTTAAAAGATCAGTATTTTGTTAAAATACGTAATTGTGTTAAGTACAGCTTCCAATGTTCACTTCTTTTGTTAGACCTTTTGGAATTTTGAATATTTATTGTTACATTACTCATTTTATATAGTTTATTCATTATTATTATTATTATTGTTATTATTATTATTTTTATCATTAATATAATCGTCATTACTATCATTATTATTACTATTTATCATTGTTGTTGCTTTTCATTATTTTATTTTTTATTACATTATGTTGTTGTATTTTTAATGAACTGAGTAATTAGCATATAGGCCATTATATATTGTATTATGTTTTACTGTTAATTATTCTCTATACAAGGGAGGTATTACTTCCTGCAGGGGCGGATCCAGTCGGCGGCAGGGGAGGGCCCAATTCATGAGAAAATATTTAGCGGCGAAATAGCCGACCGATAATTTGCTCGATGGGGGGGGGGGGGGGGGGGGGGGGGGGGGGGGGTAGTGAGCACTTCTTTTTTTTGCCCTTGAAAATTTGAAAAATCGCACCCCCCCCCCTTTTTTTTTACACGTTTCTTCCTCAGGGGTGGGACCACAGTCACTGATTTACATTGACAACTGTCTGTATTTGTGTGCTCACAAAGGTCATTCCTAGGTCACTTTAGTTTGCTATGTAAAAGAATTCTGATTTCTGTATATAAAGCATATATGTAATAGTCTACTCGCAGAAATTTAATCCAAACATAAATTAGATTACTAAAATATCAAAATACTGTACTTTCAACATCATTTTCAAGAGGCCTAGCCTTATATAATAATACCCCCTTGTGAAAGAGAAGACTATACATAGACTATATAGTTGAGTCTCACTGTTTGCTAAAGATATCTGCATATAGTGTATAGTGCTTTACAGAGAGGTCACGACATGTTGCAGTGAGCAGCGCTGTATTATGTATAGCTATGAAGTTCTTTATAAATGTAGCTCTATTTCTGAACCGAGGGTATTGATGAACGTCTGTCTGGGTTTATGTCTCCATGTTCTGTTGTATGTATAGCTGAACATGACGGATTGGAAGGAAACTGGACTAAGGTATGCTGCTGCAGGTACTTCTTGCATGTGTGCCTCTTGCTGTGAGTATATGCTTATGGACATGTGGGGCATATATATATATATATATATATATGCAACTATTGTGATATGTACACAGTAGTAGAGCTTCAACTATTGTGTACAAAGCACATGTGTATATCCAAGCGGTCATAAGTAAGCATGCAGATCCATGCTGTACATGTATGAGCTAGCCTAATATAGCCTCCTGGATAATTCTTAAAGATAAAGATCAGTTCTGGTCATGCACCACAATATAATTAAAGACCAGTTTTGGAAACGCCCCCTCTCACAAAATGAAATGGAATCTCTATATACCAATCATGTGAAAGAATATATTTTGACTAATACGTGATGATACAAATTTTGCCGGGAAACCGCCTACTAATTAATTAATTTGTATATATGTATACTGAATATATATTTGTGTTTGTTTGGAGAAAGGAGGGCATAATTAGTTACATATGTATAGTTTTGTACATTGGCCTAGCTTTGACCAATTAATTTTAACTTTGCAAGTTTCACATATCTATTGTGAAATGTGTATGCTATTTGTAAGAGTACTTTACAGAGCAGCTTCAAAGGTAGAGAGAAAATGTGAGAGAAAGAGCTAGAAACTGAGAGAGAGAGAGAGAGATATATATATAAGAAGAGAGAGAGAGAAGAAGAGAGGTAGGGAGGGAGGAAGGCCGGAAGGGGGTTTGGTATAAAAATGTCTGGAGATTAAAACGCAAGAAGTAAATATGTCAGAGGTAAAATTGGCAGAGGTAAAATTGGCATACCAGTAGGTAACAGTACCAGAGGTGAATAAGTCAGAGGTCAAAATTCCAAAAGTAAAAATGCAAAAGGTAGTAAGGGACTGTAGCGCTGAGAGGGAATGTGGAAGGTATAGCTAGATGTTTAAATAAATCTTGACAGTGCTACTCCACTACATGTATAAACATTAAAAAGGTTTTGTACCACTGCCTGGCTCCTAGCAGAAAACTATTAATGTATTTTGGCTAGTGGGCCAGTGGTCACCTCTATGATCATGTATTTTTACTCTATTTGGTAACTTTTCCCATTTGTACTTTCATTCTCATTTACTGATGCAATCTGGCAAAACTTTGGTAAACCCCCAATTATTTCCCTTTATTGTATTCTCATGCCCTAGCTCCTTTCCGTAATTTGCCCAAAAAGGAAAAAAGTGTGATGAGCCTCTTATTTCTACTTTTCCAAAAATAATTAAACTGAATTTTTTTCTTCTCTATTGTGCCCCACTCCCTCTTTAACGCAATCCTGGATCTACCCGGCCCTGCTGTAAATCCCAGGTACCAACCCGATTGAGGTGACAAAGGTACGCATCCAGTTAGAAGGTGAGCTGATACAACAGTCTGCAGTTACAGCATACAGACAGCGATACTATAAAGGACTCCTCAGGGGCTTGGTAACGGTTGCTAGGGATGAAGGCATCAGAGGACTTTATAAGGGGTTGGTCCATCATGATTTTTGCACTTTATTTGATTGGTTGACATTATTCACAGTGTTTTATGCAGATAAGGTTGACATAATATACATTCTTGTTATAAATAAATTGTTTTTGCTCGCAGCAGAGGCTAGCTTTTAGCACTTTTTATTGGCTAGCTTTTTCAAGGTAAAAAATGATGAGCATCATATCTCCTTGATCACTCTATGTATAGTAAACCACCTAGAAAACAAAAACTAATATAAAAACATGTGCCTATAAAAAAAATTATTTTCATTGAATTGCCATTAAGATCTTGCCTGTCTGAACTTACAGATTCAGGTTTTATGTATACTCCTTGATAATGTATCTGTGTTAAACTTAAAAATAATGAGAAAACCTGCCATCCTCCCTGTGATAACATCTACCATAGCTGAAAAACAATCTTGAACCCTTTATATTTGCAGACTCATCCCTTCATTGATTCGAGAAGCTATTTATAGCACATTACGTTTTGGTTCTTATGAGCCTATCAAGAAACTGTATGGAGCCAAGGATCCAACTAGAACTCCCCTCAGTATAAAGCTTGCTGCTGGTGCTACAGCAGGTAAGGCATTTAGAGATTTTAGCTTTGGTTACTTTCTAGCCTAGAGATGAGGGAAGAGATTTTGTATACAAGTAGACATGACAAAGGAGAGTTGAAGGAGATAGAGGATAGATGAATCAAAGAAAAAGAGATGTATATGGATTATGGATGCAAATGGCACATTTCCTGTTGTCTTTAACCCTCGGTTTTAAAGTGAATAAATGAGCAAAGGATGAGATAATTTAGGTATGAAATTGATAGTGGATTGAAGGGGTACATCTGGCCTGTGCATCTGCTTCAAATCAATTGTTGCATGCCTCAATTGAGTACACAAAGAAATATGCCCCGCCCCTTTCAACTTTATTCACCCAGAAGGCACCTAAAAATTATAAAAATTATCTTTTTCCTTGTTGGTTATGTCACCAATTTTTCAAAAATGATACCCTCTTCATAAAAAAAAAAAAAAAAAGACCCTTCCAAGAGAGTGTAACTAGTTGGCAAATCGGATTTTCAGGGACTCATCTTTAAATCTGATGAATATTTGATGATTCTAGTCTCTTCCTCTCTCTCTCTCTTCTTGAGGTGCCCTTGGTAGCTGGTTTGCCAACCCTATGGACATCGTCAGGATTAGACTCCAGGGAGATGGACAACCACTGCCAGGACAGCAGCCAAGGTACAGGGGCTTCCTGCATGCTTTCACTGATATAGCTAAAGCTGAAGGTCTGAGAGGGCTGTACAGGGGAACCGTCCCCACAGTGCAGAGGGCCATGATTCTTACTGCTGCTCAGGTACAGGAAGCTGTTAGGTTAAAGTGTTATAAGTTAATGTCCTACTAGCTCTCAATAGACGATATAGAAGTGAACGGATTGATGATCTCAAAACAGTATTGAGATTTCTCCCGGTACCTTAATCAACCACTTAAGTGATCACCTGGAGTCCTGCATATCCAGACCTATTGTTATAATGTTTCATATTATGTCTTATGAGGATTGTTATGCTTAGGGCAACAGCTGAAGGTCTGCTGTTGTCTAAATAAAACATTTTCAAATCCCACATTGATCTTTTTTATCACACTGAACCTGCAAATTAGAGTACCGCAAAATAATGATAAATAGGAATATCGTGATAAATGGAAACAAAAATTGGAATAGCCTTTTTGTTATTCTATTTTATGGTTATCACCTCTTGAAAGTCAATTACAGCAATCCCCCTCTGGCCAACATGCCGCTAGTTTGACTCTTGTTTTCTCATTTATTTCTCTCCAGGTACCCACCTATGATCACACAAAGCACTCTATACTGAACCATGGCTGGATGACAGAAGGGGCAAAGCTGCATTTTGTTTCATCAATGGGGGCAGGCTTCACCACAGCATTCGCTACCTCACCAGTAGATGTGATTAAAACAAGAATTATGAATCAGAAAATCAAAGGTGAGAAATCAACAAGAGCAGATCTTAAAGGACCCTCCATAAAGGCAATATCACATTTTATTCTTATGAATTTATATGATAATTAATTAATATGATCATTTTATGGAGGGTAAAATGATTCGCCAAGGAACCTAGTTTCCTAACATTGGGGGAGGGGGGGGGGGGAGGAGGGGGGGGGGGGGGTGATGGTGTAAACCAAATGTACTAACAATGTGATCTGAATGTTGGTCCAGTGACAGTTGCTTTTAGCAATCTGGTTTTAGGTTACCATGTTAAGGCTTATGATCAAGGTTGGGTTAAGTGTCCAGAATTGAAGTTAGGACTTCGGTTATTGTGGGAAATGTCTGGGGAGCCATTGTGGAAAGAGTATGTGGCATAGAACCACCCATTAGGGACAGCTAGCTCTTACACCGACGGCCATATTAAAGTATTCATGGATGTAAAAAAGATGGTCCTTTTATATTTTCTCTGACCTTCACTACGCATAGAAATGATGTTGGATGTGCAGTCTACCGGTACATGAAAATACAAGTATTAAAAACTGGGATTTGTTGTTGTGAAGTACAGCAATTAACCTGTTGGATGCTAAGCCGGAAATAAGTAAAGTTGGAGTCTGTTGAAAATATAAAATCATATCAAATGGGTTAAAGCCCCACTGCACTACTTATAGCTACCTACGCCCTCTATATAGCAAACAATGCCTATGGTAATCGGTGACCACTGGTCCCCCATGGTCCCCTTTTTCTTATGTTAATTGAGAGCTGATTTCATGAGATAACCACCTGCCAGTAACCATGCTGGGTGGTCTAATCCCTCCTGGCCAAACTACAACAGACGAGATTTAAATAAAAGTGTGAGAAAAACACAGCATGCTATGCTGATTTGACTTTGATGACATGTTGATGTATTTACCATCTTTACATGCAGGTATTCCGAAGGACCAGATACTGTATCGAGGTTCCCTAGACTGTCTTCTTAAGACACTACGAAGCGAGGGTTTGTATGGTCTCTATAAAGGCTTCTTCTCAAACTGGCTCAGACTAGGACCTCATACATGTATATCACTCTTGATCTTTGAGCAGCTCAGACGTCGTGCTGGAATACAGCCACTCTGAAGAACTCTGTTATGCCTGCTAGGCAGAAGTAGATCCAGGATTTTCCAAATGGGGGGAGGGAGGGCAAAATATTTACTTATAGTAAGTTTGCCTGATAACACTATTTCGGAAATTCCTGCAGATGATCTCCAGCTTGGCACAGGAAAGAAAAATCTTTGATCAACAACACAACAAAAAGTTCTGACAGGCCTTCTGAGAATCAAAAATGGGAGCCGTTGGCCTCTTTTATCATTAAATAATTCCTTGATGTGCTTTAGTGGAGTTGGGTCGCACCTCTCCCTTTGGCCCCTCAGCTCCTATGCTCCCAAGGATCCACCTATACACCGGGGGGTGTTTCATAAAGCTGTTCATAAAGTTACGCATGACTTTAGAACAGCTTTATGAAACACCCCTTGGGGATATATACTGTAGGTTCTCACATTCATAGGTATAGAACTCAGTCACATTTTGCTGCTGAAGTCATAAAGCAAATAAGAACCTTGAGGAATACAATGTCATTTCAATGTATTTGCCAGTGTTCTGTGTGATATGTGGTGACTATTGGGTATGACAGAACAGAAATGCTGCACAAAAACTTGAGACTTGGACATAAATGGCTGTCTAAAGTAATAATAATTTTTTTTTTTTTTTAAATTCATGAATTATAATATAATACATACTGTTTGTAGTAGGTGAAGGTGTAAAGAAATAAAATGCTTTATTATCATAATGTTTCATACATCTATGAGGATAGAATATGATTCAACCTCTAAAAATGAATTTGGGATACCGGTATGTTTACTTTAAAAAATCACATGTCATAATAAATCAAACAACAAAAAAAACTTCATTTTCATCAAATTTTGTGACCTTGATCAACAGTGTATATCACCTCTAAGTGTTGTTTTTCAGTACTCAATAACATAAGGCTTCCTGATTTTGACATTACATCTCATTAATCAATCATATATACCAAGAATGATCACTGTTTGTAGGCCAAGCATATAATGATCTACCAATCCTGACCAAAGTTGAGCTTTTTAAATTAAGATGCCCACATTGGACATATCAAGTAAATGAATTTCGGCATAGATTACCAGAGATTATTTTTTCATAAATAATAAGCTCTAAATTCTAAATCACACCAAAAATATTTGTGATATGTTTTAAATGACCCAGCATTTACTGTATGGTACAGTATATAGCAATAGTTTGTATCAGGTCCCTGTTGTTTCATAAACTAGTTATGAATAACATGTTATGGTAAATGTAAGTAGACTATTGAAATAACAGTATTTGATTGGCTGTGATCAAATTTTTCATTGACTTTTGATGTTTCTTACGGCTGGGATATATGTATTAAGGATTAGTAAAAAAGAAAAAGGACCTCATTGGCAAATATATTCAGCAAATTGTATGTAGAATTCTGGGACCCCTTTTCACAAAGCCCCTTTTCTATGACAATTTAAATGACAAAAATCAGTGACAAATCTGTTGATAACCAATCAGAAGCAAGGATTTCAGTAGCTCATAACAAAAACAGTCATTTGCCACTGATGACAAGTTTTGTGAAACGCCCCCCTGATGGAATGAAATTAACTTATGAAAGGTGTTACCATCAAGATATGATGGTGATAGAGAATTTCTATCTAAAAATATGGGTATGATAATCTTTAGTGAAGAATTTCTAAATCAGAGGATTATAAATCGCTGCCATTTTATAGGACCAAACTTGTGTCATTCATTTTTTTAAATTGAAAGTTGAATTTTACCTTAAATCTTGTCTAATCTCAGATTGCCAATCCATGCAATAAGTCAGGTGTGCTTTTTAAAGAACAACTTTTCCTATTGTTAAAATGTTATGATCTAGTGCAATGATTAAATATGTATTAGTGCAATTAAAACTTATCAATTTGTGAGACACGCACAAATGTACCGAGATGATATATTGTTAAAATAATAACAATTATTGTAATACGACTGATGTAACAATGCAAATGCTTCCAGTATCGTATATCATTATGTCTATGCAGTTAACTGGATGGTATTTTGTTATATACGCAGGTCATCTTTTTTAATGTACCTATTAACTGTATTTCATAGATTATATTTTGATATTCTAACTTTGTATTGTCATATGTTATGAAATATTAGTGTATCAAGTTTTTTATATAGATTTTATACATCTATTTTATTAAAACTGAACAGAAACAACTTCCATTGGAAATTCATACTTTAGTCTTTGTCATCAAGGGAAATGCAGTTCAGAAAGAGAAATTATTTTGTTGTCATTGTCTCGCCATGCATTGACTTTTCTTTAAAATAATTTAACAGATATTCCAAAGTTTATTTCATACTTTTATGGTCCATGAAACACGTTTTTACCAAAATATGCAGTAATGAGCAGTAATAATATAATAACAATATGGATATTTATATAGCGCCGGTATCCGCCAGGCTCTGACGCTCATGGCGCATATAATGCCAACTTTACAACTAATGTTACAATCTAAGTGGCCCATAAGCAGGCTTTTGAAAATAAGATTGATGCAATATATGTGGCTATAGTAAAATACTGTATGTAACATTTACAGTTTTAACACTGTTTACATCATCAGTGAAATTTAATGGGTTCAAAAGAAAAGTAGGTCATAACTTCTATGGTAGATTATTATTGATTGGCAGGTAGTTTATTGCACAGGAAATACTTGAGGTGCAATTTACGCTTGCAGGTGTGTAACATATAAGTTTGGTGATATTTACAATAGTATAATGCATAAATATACATGAAATCAACAGGAATGAAGAAATCTATATCATTTCTTGGCCAAAATCTGTAAACAAGGAGGAATGTGGTATCAACTTTAAATCTTGTAGAGATAATTTTTCTCTAGTTTTTGCTCTTTCATTGATTTATTTTGTTGGTGTTGCTATCTCTTTCTGTTTCTTTCCTTTACATCCTTCTTCCTTCTCTCTTTCTTTCTCTCATACCATTATACATTCTCTCTTTCCTGAAATTTACTCACACATAGTTACCACATGATGAATGCACCTTCTGTACATGTAAACTTTTCATTATTTTCATTGCTTTTTACCAAACAAAATATTTAAAATCCTCAGTCATATTCATGGGTTAGTTCCTTCTAAATGAGACATACTTCAGCTGATAAAGGATCTAACACAAGAGATAAATTTGTTTTTGTCATATTGTTATTGCAGTGATCATAAATTTTACTATCAATACATTTATATTCCATAATAGACTTTTATTTAATACATTGGTAACACTCTGGAATAATGATACTATCACATAAGAGTTATATAAGCATCAGCTATTTTTTACCATTCTCTTGAAATTGCTCACATGAACAAATATATAGAAAAGTCCAGCTTTATGGCAAATGTATTGCTTAAATTGTTATACAAAATCAAAGAATGATTTAAAGTTAAAGTAAAATTGAATACATATCAAAATATCTATCAAAATGCTAATCAGAATGAATTTAATTACACATGGTGATTATCTGTAGTAAAACTACTTTTGTTTATTGTAATACACCTACTACAATTGCTTTCAAAGCAGATCAATAAACATCACATTAACATATAATATGGTTCATGGAAAGTAGACAAATGAAAATTATTTTTTCTTTATTTGCAAGAAAGCCCATTTGTGAAAACGCTACAAAATTATTTTGTGAATATAAAAATATGAAACAAGAATAGGAGAATACAAAATCAACACAGATACAATGATATTAATTCTGGATTTTGATTTAAACCCCAAATTGAGGCTGTACATCCTATACTTTAGGGTATAAAAATAAAATTTTTTGAAAGAGTGAATACATTCTAACAAATAAAAACAGACAGAAAGAAATAAGTAGAGATAAGTTGTATAAAAGCTGCAGGCCGCCGCCGTCGCCTGTACCTCTCTGCTAAGCTTTAAGAGAGAGGTACTCAAGACCCAGCTCCGTTAAGCTACGGATGTCTTTTTAACTGCACATAGCTCATTGTAGACCTTTTATTGAGACACTACCTGTACATATACACCTGCACAGCACCTACATCAGTCCGATAATACACCTGACGGTGGCTTGTACTTATAGCGAAGAAGAAGAAGTATTGAGATATTGATAAACATAATATGCAATGAATAGGAATGACCAAAATTATAAGAAAATATGCATGCTGATGAAAGAGCTTTAAATATAAATGTTTCATGGATAATAATAACATAGTCTCTAACATTCTAACTCTAAATAATGAAAGACATGCTTAGAGATTTTGGAAGCCAGGTATATGTGTTCATACAATACTCTTCTACATGGTGATAACAAAGAATTAGAAAGAAGCATTTTGAATGCTCAAATACTACCCCAAAAAGTTTGCAATAAACCTGTATGCAGCTGGAATACAATACTCAAGCAGAGTGCATGTTTTTATCTATTATCTGTACAAAACTACACGTTTTTACTTGATACACATAACATTCACAATATTCCATCTAAAAGACTTCATACAACTTTGTTTTATTCACAGACAGTCAATTATGAACACAAAATTTAAACTCAGTACTAAATATTATCTCTCAGATATTCTTGATGCAATCTGTGATTTACAAACTACTTGAAAACACAGGTCGAAGTAAAAAACAACAACATTAAAATGGGTCTTCTACAAGAGCATCTTAAAAAAAGAGTTTGGGAAGGCACATACATGTATCTATATACTGGCTGGCGTTCATTCTATCAACTATATACAACTATATACACGATGGACAATTTGTATACAAAATAGAATATGGGAATATATGTGTCTCCTCACTATACAGTAATCCTGTCTCTCTATTTACAAAACTTCATTACAACCAGTCATTAAAGTCACTGATAAAGAAAAATATTGTATTTGTTTCGAATTTAATTTTTATAAGTTGGGTTTTCTCTTAAAGTGAGCTCAATATTTGTAATATTTACAAACTGAATATAGACTCATTATTTGATGACGTACATTATAAGTTGAAATATCAATTCGGTTTTTATTTCAAAAGAATAGAAAAAACCCTGGTACTTTTCGACAACAAGACAAA